CTTTTTAGTTTTGAGTTGAAAACTTTACTTCAATTTTATTAAAATACTTTATTATGAAGGCTTTAAATTGTTTACAATTTATGATTTATTAACAATTTAATTTTTGAATGATTTTCGTTCTTTATGTTGAGATTATTATCTGGTTCCCTTTTTTCTCGTTTGATACTGAAATATTACAGGCAAATTAATGAGGTGTTATTTATCTTAAAAGATTTGGATTCGAGATTGTTTTGTACTTGTTCTTTGTTGAAATTCCTGATAGGTGTAACTTAATTGGAATTACTTGAACACTAATTCATGTTTCATGTTTTTTCATTAGAGTACCTCCTTTGTTCATGCGTACACAGAGCTTTATCATAACTTTAGGAGTGCATTTTACACTCGTGAAAGATGTACTTGGATGCAAAATTCCAAAGGAGAGTTCTAGAAGGAGGAAAATTTACATATCTCATTTGCAGTTCTGTAAGAATAGTTTGTTTGGGTTATCAACCAATATGTATTCTTGAGTGAAGGTAGTTATCAGTTTCAAAATTTGAGTAAAATATATGATCTGCCCTTATTGTAATCTAGTATAGAATAGGCATCTTCTTGTTGACTTGTGTGCTTTGAGAATGCAACTACTCTTTGTGATCCTTTATCTTATCTTGAGTTAATGGTTGATGTGATGTTTAATATAAGTTCTCTCTGTCCCCCCTCTCGTGGAGGGGTTTATTTGACATAAGCTCTATTATACATAGCATAATTATTTCGTTGGGATTTTAGTTAATTGTAATCTTAAGAAGATACCATAGAAAAAATGAAGTATTGTAAAAGATTGACATGATTTACACGGCTAGAAATTCTGTTCAATGGAAATTGTGTAATGTGCATGTAGTACATGTGCTGATAGAATTGAAAGAGTTCAAAGCTTTAAGGGAAACAAAACATTGGGTGCAACTCAAACAAGCTCCTATACGGATGTACAAAAGACTGCATTTTAATTTTTTTAGAAAAGATTAAGTGCCATTCAGTTGCAATTGTCTATATGAATGTCAGTGTCACTGAATGTTATTGTACCATACAATCTCATTTTTTATACCCAAAAATTTACTTGCTAGAAAATTTAGTGCCATTCAGATAGATCATGGCGATTGAATTGTGTAATTCTCTGCTACAATGTAATCATAAGCTTCCTTTTCTTTTAGTCTCTGAATAGTTCTTCCGCCTCTTTTTACCCAGAAGACGTGGCAAAGATAGCGACTTTCACAATGGCACTGAATTAAACAAGGATCCTCATTGTCCGCTGAGAACAAGGATCCTTATATTTGTAAATAGTAAAGATGATAAATATTGGTAAGTAAAATATTTTTTATGTGTATTTTGTTTCTTTTTTACTATTACGTAAGTCCGCTGTTTTATTTTTTAATGTCTATTTATGCATTTTTCCCTTTTCTATGTAGATTCCAATACAGATGATGCATCTACTTAGAGTTGATAAATGATTGATAAGAGATTGAGGATTATTACAACATTCTCTTCAAAAGATTTGCAATTTGTTTGCGATAACATTTTATTGTCACGAAATCGTAGTTTTATTGTAGTGAAATCTGGAACATAATTGTTCGATTAAAAATTGATTTATGAAAATATTTTGGTCATATTTCACTCATTTGTTGACTTTTAATTGCATCCAATTGTCTTCTAGCATTCTCGAATATTCATTGTGAGATTCGGCACAACTTTGAGTATTTACTTTAGTCCCCAACTTTGGATCTTGTCTATTTTCGTCAATTTTTACTTCTTTCTTTCAATTCCACTTTCATTGATCAAATTTCATCTAATAAACAAAACATACAATAAATTAGACAATAATTATTCAAAAGAACTATTAAATATCTATACTTTTAGGTCCAAATAAGTGTATAAAATACACTTATCAATAATTTGGTGTACGATTCATGGAACAAGGGTCATTTATATAGAGTTTAAGTGTCTCTTAGAAATGGGTATTTGATTTGATGTTTTCAAATTATTTTCAATTTTGTGAAACAACCAAAGCTTGTTTGGTTTAATATTTTTTAAAATACATTTTGAATATAAAATTAAATTTATAACATTAAACTCAAAATAATTTTTTGGCATTTTTGGTGGTTTCAATGAATATGAGAAATAAAAGTAATCTAATTTCTCCCACCAATGGCAAATCAAACACTTCAAAATTTGTACATATCTTTATAATATATTAGCATAAAAATTTTCTATTTTACTAAGTAATCAAATTTGTTGAATAAAAATCATAAAATAATTTCTAGAAATTTCAAACCAAACGTTTTATTTATTTATTTATTTATTTTGAGAAATAATTTTTCAAAATAACATATCGAACACATTTTCTACAAAACAAAAGGTAGAAAATGAATTTGAAACTCAAAACTGAAAATTGAAACGCAACCAGACGGGACTTACATTTGCTAATTGTCTAAAAAAATAACTTAGCACAGTAAATTCAAAACGTTCATACTACAAAATGTTCATTCTAAAGAAAATGCATAAATAAATTGTTACTCATATTTATATAATACTTAGTCTCGAATTCTATTCTTTCTTCCTTTGCTCTTTCTACATAGACAACACTTAATCATGAATTCTCACCCATAAACAATACACCTATCCAAAAGAAAAAAAAAAAAAATCAATCAAATAATTATTATTATTATTATTATTATGAAAAAAATAAGATGACAAAGAAAAAATATTAAGAACTTGTTTGGTAGAGATTTTAATCCAATTAAAATTGTAAATATAGCTGTTATTGGGTCTCATCCGTCTAATAAAAGTCAACAATAACGGCTAGTTTTTTAATTTTAATCTCTCCCAAACAAGTTGTAAATACACATTTAGTCTCGAATTCTCTTCCTTCAAATGCTCCTTTTATAGATCCAACATTTATTCACTAATTCTATCTCACTTATATGGGATATCATAGACCAAAAAATAAAAATATAGGGATAAAATGGGAAAGCTGAATGTTTCTCTTCTGTCCATCTCTTCACTCTTCAATCTTGCTCACAAATAATAAATCTGCCCAAAAATATAACAATTAAGATCAATCACAAAATAAAATCATGAATAAATATTTAAGAGTTTAGCCTTGTAAAATATATGAATTAATGTTTCATTATTACGTACTAATGACGTGAATGTAAAATATTTTTTGTAATTTTTTTTTCTTTTTGAAATAATTATTTTTTATAGGAAATGGATGTAACTAACTATTGTAAGAATAATAACTTAATAAATGTTAGAAAAGAAAACTTAATGCATGGAAAATTATATATATTTGCTATCATGTTTTATTTTATATGTAACTAAAATAATTATAAGAAATTTTAGTGAACATAAATTTTAATGCCTAGGTGAACGGATTAATGCAAACTTTCAGGTTTTTTTTGTAATTTAATTTTCTTTTTGTGAATTAATGTGTTTTTAATAGGAAAATAATTTAAATTGACTATTTTTAGAATAATAACTAATGAATATCTAAAAAAGTGGGGGGCGGGGGGGGGGGGGGGGCTTAATGCATGAATTAATGTTATTACTATAAATTATTAAGATTGGATAAGGGTATTATTGACCAAAAAAATATAAGAACAAAATGGGAAATTGAATGTTTCTCACCTATCCACATTCTTTATATATTGTAAATATAATGAAAAAAAATTGAAACTATACAAATTAAGTGAATAAGTAGTGGAGAAAATAACAAGTTCTTCAATCTCAATCAAGTGAACTTGATTCATTGCCTCTCTCACCATCAGAGTATGTTCACACTATTTTCTCATATAACTTGATTTATTCGATGTGTTGTAATTGTGTGGATGGGAGTTTTAGCAATGTTTTAGTATATAACGATGTGGTTGATGTTCGCACGACAGCAATATTATTAAGTTCAATGTCGCTTAGATTTGAATTCAACGTTTCACAACTCTATACTTATATTAGTTTGAGTTGCATTTCTGTCATAAGCTTGATTAAATATGTTGTAGTTGTGTGGATGAGACATGTTCAAACATGTTATAACGGCACCAATATCATTATCCTCGTTTTATGGTTCAACAACATAAGATTATCACATAAACTTTATTTATATGTCATGAAAAAGTTGATACCATGAAAACTAAGAAAATTAGTGTGGGAGAAACAACGATATGTTGTAGGAGCGTTGGTGATTTCAACCGTATTTTAACTCACAACAACGTTCATCGACATTAGTATCGTTACTATTAAAATTTTCGCGTCATGGGTAACAACTCATAAATATTGTAGGTATAAAGGAGAAACCAACAAAATATACTACTAATAGTCAACAATAGAGATGACAATAGTAATGAGATTCCAAGAGTTTCTATTGCATTTATTGGCAAATGGTAAATTTGGAAAAACATTAATATCAATTTAATAATTTCCTTCTTTCTGTCATTTTTGGTCAAAGACCTTTTTGTTATCAGAGTAATGCTATGTAATCTCATTGGAATTACAATTTCAATTTAGTTGACGCTAGGTGATATGTTAAATGAAATGTGAACCTATCATTTAATATCGCAATACCATCACCTAAATTAGAATTGTAACACCAGTAAGCCTCTTATCAAAATCTTGACCGATTCCTCGAATTTCAACCGGTTCATGTAATTCAACCAAACCATCCCGTTCGCCCATACTCGATTCAAATTAACCAGTTGGGTCCTGGCGTTACAACCAGAGTTTTTCAACATTTTCCTTACCGTTGAGTCTCTATAACTTGTCCACGTTTTGTGCTATCATTTGTAGCAGAAAATAATCACAGTTAACCCTGAATTTATTGCATATTAAAAATTAAACTTTTGCTATAAAATTGCTTCTTTCTACAACGGTAACATTTACACTCATTCCTATATAACTCCATCTTAATCCTCAACCCTTTGCTTCAATCAGTCTTTCTCTCTTTCTCTATACTTTTCAGTTTCTGCGAAAGAACCTCCATGGCTCCACAGATATACACTTCCCTGGTTCTAATATTGTTTGCAGGTTTTACATATGGTTATCAATTGAATGTAGGAGGTAAAGATGGTTGGGTAGTAAACCCTTCTGAGAGTTACACTCACTGGGCTCAAAGATTGAGATTTCGAGTTAACGATACCCTCTGTATGTTTTTTTTTATCAGGTGGTCGATCTTTTGTTTTTATTTTGATGTGATTGATGAGTGGTTTTTTGTTTAATTTGTAGTGTTCAAATACGAGAAAGGAATGGATTCGGTGCTGGAAGTGAATAAAGAAGATTTTGACAACTGCAACACCAATAATCCAGAGATGAAAATGGAAGATGGCGTTTCGATCTTCAAATTTGATCGATCAGGGCCTTTCTATTTCATCACGGGGAACAAAACCAACTGCTATAGAGGTCAAAAGCTTATCATTGTTGTCTTGGCTGTGAGAATGCCACCACATGCTCAGCCACCCTACACCACCCATGTTCCTTCACCATCTCCGGCCGAACCACCTGTCAACGCCCCAGCACTGGCTCCAGACACCGTTGTCGCCCATCCACCCGTTGCATCGCCGCCACATCATTCATTTGCTTCACCACCAGCATTTACTCCATCAGTTGTACTGGTGTCAACAGCTTCACTTGTCTTAAGCCTGGGTTTTGGTGGATTTATTGTCTCCTCTTAAATATTGTTGTTAGGGTTTTCTTGGCTGTTTCATGGTTGTTTAGTTTCTATTGGTTTATTTTTTATATATTTAAGTTTTGAACTTTTAAATATTCATAAGTAAATATTTAGACCCTGAATTTAAAATAAAAATGTTTCGCTCTTCATAATAAATATTATTAAATACTAAATTGTCCAATAATTCAATATTAGATTAATTGGAAATAATTAGATTAATTTTTTTAAAAAAAATGGTTTAGGTTACTCCTCTGATAAAGAACCTTTTAAGATGGAGTTTCGAGTCCATCAAGTTAAAATGAGCAATTTAATCTACTTGAAACTTGAACTAACAGTTCAAAGATTGATTTTCTTATCATGGAGGGAAGTTATGGGAAAACCTAATGTATGGATCCAATTCTTCTCGTCAACAATTGGATGCCTAGCTGAGGTCCTGCTCGTGATTGAGAAGGCTCAGAATGCAACAATCTTGTTTGGCTAAGCTTTTAAGTGTTTTTAAGCACCTGTTTGACCCCATTATTCCACATTATAATTTTTTGGAGGAAGTATATTAAAAAATGATTTTTTTTTTTGATTTACGTGTAATGTTATTTTATTGAAGAATGTGATGTTTTTTATATGAAAAGAGAAAAAAATAAATTATAATTTAATGGAAAATAACGGGTGCCAAAATGGGGCTAACTTATAACCAGTGGGTTAATTACAATGAATATTGCATGTTAATGAACGTATAAAATATTTGTGAATCATACGAAATATATATGAATAAAAATATATTTGAACAGCCAAACATGCACAGATCAAAGATTTGAGCACTGTTTAGTTTTGCTAAATTAGTAAAAATAGAATTTTTAGTAGATTTTGATAAAAGTTAATGAAATGTAATTGAAAAATTGATAAAAGTTGTGTAGAAGTGTCAATCCGGGTGGGCCGGACCGGGCCGGGTCGGCCGACAAATTTTGGACTACAACCTAGGCCTGCCCGATGACCCATCCGGGTCGAACCCATACAAGTCCATGTTTGGTCCGGATTAAAAATCTGATTTTAATCAAAATCAAAGTCAAACAATCAATATTAACCACATCTTTCATAGGTCCCACAATTTTTCAACCACACATTTCAAAAACTTCCATCACAATCTACTAAAAATCTAATTTTAATCCCCTCCAAAACACCCTCTTAATTGTCCAATAATTCGATATTAGATTAATTGGAACTAATTATAAGAACTTGAAGGGTAATGTTTCTTAGGTGCAAGGAGAACTCCGATTTTTGAATTGAAAAGAAAAAAAATCAAATCCTCTAAAATCTTCTCGACTTTTTTGTGAAATACATTAAATGAATTTCATATTTTATTTAGTTGAAAATCAAAAATTTTGAGCTAATAATGTCATATTAATGTAATTGCTGAAATTTTTTTAATAGTTTTTATCAATGTAAAGTATAAAAAATAATTGTTCAGCCTTCTCCTCGAGTAGAATTCGATATGGGACCTTTACCAGTTCATAAAAATGGATATAAAATTTCAAAAATAAAAATTGTTTAGGTTACTCCCCTGGTATAGAACCTTTAAAGATGAAGTTTCAAGTCCATCAAGTTAAAATGAGCAATTTAATCTACTTGAAACTTAAACAAACAGTTCAAAGATTGATTTTCTTATCATGGAGGGAAGATATGGGAAAACCTAATGTATGGATCCAATTCTTCTCGTCAACATTTGGATGCCTAGCTGAGGTCCTGCTCGTGATTGAGAAGGCTCCGAATACAACAATCTTGTTTGGCTAAGCTTTTAAATGCTTGTTTGGCCCCATTATTCCACATTATAATGAGAGGAATTATAATTTTTTTGAGAATGTGTATTAAAAAAAGGCATTATTTTTTAATTTACGTGTAATATTATTTTATTGAAGAATGTGTGATGCTGTTGATATGAAAAGAGAGAAAAATAAATTAATAATTTAATGAAAAATAATGGGGGTTAAAATGGGGCTAACTTATAACAAGTGGGTTACAATGAATGCATGGTAATGAACGTATGAAGTATTTGTGAATCATACGAAATATATATGAATAAAAATAGATTTGAACGGCCAAACATGCATAGATCAAAGATTTAAGCAAAATTTATGAGTTGTTCTCTTCGTGTTTCAGTTTTATGCGTTGAGTTTTGAATTCATTTTAAATTTTGTATTTTGAGTGTCCATTTTGAAATTGTTGAAAATGTGTTCTTTTTGGTATTTTAAAAATTCGATTTTCAAAAATAAACAGAAGGAAAACGTGTTCTCTCTCTCTCTCTCTTTCTCTCTCTCCTTTCCCTGCGATCGTCGACGCTCCCTGCTCCCGGCGATCTCCCTGCTAACAGTGCAGTGGCGGTTTGGGTTTGGGCGTTCCCTGCTATCTCCTTTTTCATCGTTTTTTTTTTCTTTGTTTGATGCGGTGGTTGGGTCGCGGACGAATCTGCTGCGAACGGCGATGCATCTTAGTTACTGTTGTACAAAATGTAATGGTTAGGTCACGGACGGCGATGGTTGGGTCACGACTTGGAGGCGGTGGTTCTGTTGCAGGCGGTGTTGTAACTAAAAACAAGCGGTAGTTCTGCTGCAGGCGAGCATCGCGACTTGGCGGTGGTTGATTGGATGGTGATGGTGGTGTGGTGGATGTAAGCAGTGTTGGTGGTTGTCGGTGACAGCGGGCTTGGTGTTGGTGTTGGCGGTGGTTTTGGCGGTGTTGTGGCAACGGCGGTGCAGTGGTGGTTGGGTTGCGGTGGTGGGTCGCGATGGTGGTTCTGTTGTGATGAGTTAGGTGTAGTGGTGGTTGGCGGTGGGTGAAAACACCCAAAACGTGTTTTCAAAATTTTTAGTTGTTTTTAACTGAAAACATCCAAAACGATAAATATGTCATTTTGGGTTTTCTTTGTAAATTTTACATTTGTTTTCAAAAATGTGTCGAAAACAGAAAACGGGTTGAAAACAGGAAAGAGAACAACTCCTTAGTTTTGCTAAAATAGTAAAAATAGAATTTTTAGTAGATTTTGATAAAAATTGATGAAATGTGATTTAAAAATTGATAAAAGTAGTTGATTCCATAAAATTATGATTGAAAACAAGCTTACAAAAAAATTGAATTTTAAGAAATTGGGGAGCAAACATGGACTTAGGAATGTTGATCTATTTTATTTTCAAAAGGTCAAGGTTGCACTCTGGTCCTCAAACTTATATGACATATCATTTACAAGAATTCAACATGACCTCAAACAATTTAAGGGCTTCAACGAAATCTTTAAAGGGGATCTTTAATTGATATAACGAAAAATTAAAAACAAATGAAACAATATCGATTATTCTAACGAAAAGGAATATTTTTCGACAACTCGAACGGATTTACTGATGAGTTGATGATGTCTTTAGTTGGCACCAATAGCGTTTAGTTTGTTGATTGTCAATGGAGAAGTTATTTGTAACACTCTTAAGGAATTTATTTATTTTTCTTTATCTATTATGTTTTTTAATATTTTGTGGGTACTTTTACATTTATTTTTATTACTTTATCGACAATTAAGTAACTTTAATTATTGTTTTATTCCTGACATAATTTTTCTTCGTTAGTATTTAATTTTATTACTCTATTTAATGACAAATTTTGTCCGTAATTAAATTTAGTACAACATTAATCTTTTTAATAATACTAAATGAAAATATTTTTTAGTTTTTATTTAATTACATATACATTTACTGAATGTAATATTTATTTTTTTATTATTCTGTCTAAGGATAGAAATTCTACCATTAAATTTACGGACCAAAAACTCCATTTTTATCATAATTACTATATATATTTCTTACTTTATTGTCGGTATTAAAATTATTAAAGTACATTCTTTTAATTATCATTGAACCCTAAGTTTGGAAAGCCCTATCTTCTTTACAGCCTCCATGAATGTATCTCAAAGTTTCCCTGGCATGGTCCCTCGCGGCGGTGTCTTCGCTTTGATATCACCCCGCCTTTAGTCCGGCGGTGAAATAACCTCTTTGTTAAGGGTACGTTTGACACACAATATTAAAATATTTAGATAATACAATAAACCAATTCAATTTATTTTTAATTCCTTAATTAATATCGTTCTGTACTTTGCAATCCTAATTAACAAGAAGACACAAGTAGTTAGTAAAATGAAATTGAGTAGTTAGTAAAATGAAATTGAGTACCATACTTGTCGAATAAAAGAAAACACTCTCCCTTTAGGTAAAAGGCGCAAAGAAGTTGTGAAAATTGGACGTTAAATCAAGAATGAGTTATGATATTCAAGGTCTTGCTATCCATTAACTTTTTTCTAATATACGTCTCACTTATTCTTTCAGGTGATCACTACCTCTACATTACTCGTACAGTCATTAGTTAATATGCAATACTAAAAATAGTAAATAATCAATGGATCAAATTACTTATTTTGATAGAATATATGGTCATGAAGAAGTCAGATGTCTCTAACATGTACATCTGATGCAAATCCCATAGAAAAATAAGGAGAAAGCAAAGGGTCCTAAGATTAACGTGAATGACGTTAATTCACACAAATTCATCGCCATATTTCACCATTCAAAACCTCCATAACATAAGCCTCCACTTCTCCCTCCCTCAACCAAATAGCTTCCTTTTTCTCTCCCCCTATTCGCAAGAAGGGCATAGGAGGAAAAGTTAAAAGAGAGAAAAAATTAAAATATCCTCTTTTTTTTTCAATCATTTGGTGTGATATCGATGGGTTCCCGTGCTGGGCTTGTTTTCCTGTTCCTCTTGGCCATAGCCTCTACCATGGCTATGGTGGCTCAATCCTCTGGCACCAATGACTTGTTTTATGGTGCTCTCATTTCCCAAGATGGTCATGGGTCTATGGACCTCGATGTAGACGAACTGATGATGGAGTCTGAAAGTTCTCGCCGTCAGTTGTATAATTCAAGGTACATTAGCTACGCTGCCCTGAGGAAGAACAATATCCCATGTAACCGCCGTGGAAACTCATACTACAATTGCAAGAACCGCCAAAAGGCAAATCCCTATCGTCGTGGCTGCACAAAGGCCACCAGATGTGCTAGAGCTTATTGAGAGACGAAACACTTTATTTGAATGCGTGCATGCACGCATGAATGGGATGATTTAGAGTGTGGTATAAAGGTTTCATTTAGAGATTGTTTGAATGTGTGCTTATATGAATGAATAAGCGTAGGAATAAAAAAACAAGAAATGGTGTCAAATCTTGTGGGTAATTATTATAATTTATTGAATACTTGAAGTTTAATTGTTGAAAAATAAAATAAAATTTATTATTATTTGTCGTCTAATTTTATTTTTTCTAGTTCTTTGATTCACATAATATTATGCTTACCGAACGGCATCATTTAAGCCTTTTGTTGATAGTAATTAACCCCTATTTGGCCCCAATTTTTTGGAACTCATTTTTTCTCAAATTTATTTTCAACCATACGATTCAGGAAATCCACAATTTTTATTAACTTTTCAATCTTTAATTGGACTGTTCATTTCAGTATATTCAGGATCGAGAGGTTTTCACTACATTACATAGGTTAAAAGCGAAAGATGACAACCAAAAAGAAAACAGCAAAGTAAAAATAAGCAGTATTTTATTGCAAAAATATGATGTTATTCACACAGTAAACAAGGGCAAGCTCAACATCATGCCTTTAAACATTGCATTATATAAAAATAGAAAGCAATCAGACAATATTTTGGTTTATAACACTGTCGTTCTTTTTGAATCGAAAAGGAAGATAACACGAAGAATTTCGAGAGAAGGATAGCCAGTAGTTGCCCAGAGGAGTTAAATACAACATACAAATTGAAGAACAAAATTGGCCGAGAACAATTAATTGGCCAAGCCATCATCAGCAAGAAACTCGGGAACTCAGCATTACGGAAGACTCAAAACAACCACCATCGCCTTCGACCCTGCTTTCTCTGCAGCAAATAAGCAAGTGTGAGGCATGCACAATATATATTACTAGTAGTAAAACCAGTTTTACAATGCCCACACGAAATATATTACTTGAGGTAAAACCAGTTTTTGCTTTGATAAGGTGATATTATAAACAAGATGCTCCATGTAAAATTCTCTTAAGCGCGGTTACTTGTCATTTCATTTATATTGAAAGGCTATTTCGTGTGTAATTTAATATTCACTTTACATGCAATTCCACTAAAAATGTCACTATAAATAATCAAGCTGTTCTATAATAAAAATCACTGCATTTTTGCAATAGGTTAATGTACCAGAATCGTCACAGCAGTTCGCATAACAAAACAGAAAATATTTCAATTTGAAATTTCTGTGGGTGTCAAAAGTGATGTACGCACAAAATGAGAAGGAAAAGAAAAGAAACTGTTCTCAAGCTTCTGTTCCATTGGCTCTTGATGATATTAATAGAACTCAAAAGAAGGAAAGAGAGGCAGGATTGGCCGAACTATCTGGTCCTCTAGTACACATAATCAAATCTTGGCCTGCTAAGAGTCTTTGGCCTCCATTAAGCATTTGTTCTATCCACATGCATGGGCAACTAATTAGAGATGATGAAGTCGTTTACTTGTATAGTTTAAAATCCTGTTAATTAATCTTTTCAATACTCAAAACCTTTATGTGTCCAAAAGTTCGTCAAGTCCCAAAGACTAACATGATAGAGAAATTGCGAAAGCAAGATGAGAGAAGAAACCTTTTGGTCCTGATTGCTCTGGGGTTCCAATAATATAGGCTGAGGAAGAACACTGTTGTCAACATTTTGTAAGTACGGCTGGACTCTCTCTTTCAGCATCTCATTCAACTGAAAATGGACACATATAATAGAATTAGATTAGGACAAAACATTATACACCTGAGAAGATGTTTCCAACAAGTAGCAAGTCAAGCAAAAGATATACAAAATCTTATCCAGTAATGGAGGAAAACATATTAGTGGGTAAAATTGCCTGCAAATGTCATTAGGAATGCTACCTAATGGAAATTCAATTGCATTACATTATTCATTCTCATTATGAATTACTCAAGTGTGAAGAGTAAAGGAAAGTATAAATGCAGAAGATATCCTCTATGCGCAAAATTAAAAGATTAAGAAGAAAAATAGATTGTTCCAAAAAACTAGCAATTTTACAGAAACAAACACCTTAAAACTCATTGGGTGTAGAAACGCATGAAGCAAACCCCCTCCCCCAACTCAAACAACTTGCTTTTTATCTCAAAAATATTGCAATCTCTTCCTGACAAATTACCCAGAAAATGGCTGATACTGTAGTTCTCCACTTAACAATACCCGATCACAAACTTATGAAGAGCTAGGCATATTTACACTGCTGATCATCTCAGTTGGTTGTACAGCCTGCTGCAGCCACATGCTGAAATTTCTCCAGAACTGGAGATGCAACACACAGAATGAAGCAGAAATTACCCATATGGCAGGATAAGACTAGGAGTTAATCCAACATTCCGCTCTTCACCATTCACCAAGTATCCCATAATGTTTTGCCAAAGTTGTGCTCCCCAAAACAATATTCTACATATTTGGATGCCCATCTGTTCCCCTCACTTCATTGTCTACATGTTCCCACGTAGTCTCATCAGCAAAAAAAAAAAAAAGGTACCATCAGCCGTTCATTCCCTCAAAGTTTTTGTTAAAAGAAATTTCCCATTTAAGAGCTAGATGAAATGACAAGATCCCTAAATTTCAGGTACTATAAACACACAATGACAAACATTACAAACACCCTCTCTGTATAAATCCTTCCCACTCAATCTTTTCTGTAAAAGTTGATAAATACAATAGAGAGAATGTAAGGACAGAAGAACCTAGTAGGTTTCAAATCTCATATTACGTGGCTAATGCAGGGATTAACATTTATCAGTGCAATTTTTTTCCTCAGCTCTCTTGAGATGAGAAAATGAGAGTGCAGAGTAAAATTCTAAAATGTGAAAGTAACTATATCTTTTGCTTGAAAATAATAATTAAATGGATGAATGTCATTGCATAATATATGAACAAATGTTGAAATATACAGACGACACACTAATGTCAAGATACTCAGAAGCCTTTGCAGATTCACTACTAACCTTTTCTTCACGCCATTTTGTTTCCCACTGAGCATCCAATATTTTATCAGCAATTTCTCTTTGTGCATTAAGCAGAATTGTCATCTCATATAGCTTCTTCGGATCTTTCAGGTCCTCCTCATTCCAAGAAGATGCATTCAGGGGCAGGTTCAACTCCTGCATGATGAACAACTTACCATATGAACTAGACATAATAGATGTGCAACAAGTTTGTTGATCATAGGGATTTATAAATTTGGAAGACGTCAGCAAGTAAATGAAGAAAGTCCACAATTTTTCTTTTTATTTTCTCTCAAACAGAGAAACATAGCAAAGAAAGAAAGTTAGTCGACCAAGGAGTTCAATGATGTAATAACTCAAGTGTTTACATTTCCAAAAGAAATAGCAGTTTGATGAATGGTTGTTGAAACAGGCTAAAGATGTCAATGGTTCGGCTCGGCTCTTAAAGCCACAAGCTCGGCTCGGCTCAGGGAGAAACGAGCCACGAGCTCACGATGGGCGGGTGCCCACGAGCGCTCGCCTCCCTAACTAGCCGAGCAAGCTCGGCTCATCTAGCGAGCAGGTCCGCTCGTGCTCGGGCTCGTCTTAGGGCTCATGGGTCGCTACAGTACGAGCCGCTCAGTTCAATTGCCACCACTAAAATAGGCACTCAAAGGTCCGCACTCTTATTACAGACACAAATTGTGCAGCATAGACTTTCTTATGCCAATAAATAGGAAATGTTGATTTGTTTTGTTTTACTATATCATGTCAAATAACAGAAACAAAGCAATGGCCAGCATTTAACGAAAGATGGCGTATAACAAAAAAAGCAGTGAAAATCTCAAGGAAAAGGAAATGTACCCCCCAATTCTCAGGCCGTGGTGGAGGATCAAACTTCATGACTTCAGCCTCCAGCACTTTCTTGGCTTTGTAGCATGGTATATTTTTCACAATAACAGGATCATCCTTAGCACGGACGGGATCGAGGGAGATTAAAGCCTGTTAATTGATATCGTGCCAATTAAAAAATCATTCCCTTTTAGAATATCACATAATGGGCATGTGCATAAAAAGGTCGAAAGCCTCACAATCATAGATGTCATATATCCAAGAGAAATAACACATTGACTTCATTGCCTGACAAAAGTGGCCCAGCAAAAATATTTGTTATTGGTGTGTGAATTGACCTGGTGACATAAAAATTGGATTCCTTAAGACAACTTAGGGCTGAGTGCTTGGCCCTTGTTAGAACATGCTTAAGAGTAAATTGTCAATAGAAGAGTAAGATGTATAAATTTCAGTTTCACGTGATGGTATTTAAATAAAAAAATACAAGCTCCAATGAAACATATATTAGAATGAATCTGGTGAACAATTTGCTATACTAAAAACTATTACAGATTTGATTCCATCTTCTGGGAGATCAAACGGATTTCTGCTAAACAAGAAGATCAATAAATTCAAATAAATTAATCAATTCAGAACATTAATATTCATAATTCAAAAGTAGAAATACAGTGATCATCAGCTGTAAATTTTGACTTGGACTCAATAAGCTAGTGCACTTGGAAAAAGATCTGTGGAAAGAGCATGGTAATAGATTTGGTAAAAGAATTAGTAAACATCACACATATTACATAACTTAACTTTAAACAGATGTAGGAAGTCATAGAATGATAAGAAAAAACCAATTAAGCTAGGGAATGGAATAAGAAACTTGCATGGGCAAAATAAATAGATGGTAGCAACAAGAAATTTACATGAACAAAGTTCAAAGATAGTGGAGTAATCAATGAAGATTAAAATGATGCTCAAGATTAGCATTTTCAGGTCAATTATTTAAGGACTTATAGGCACTGGGCATGCAGTAGTTACAGAGTTGGAGAAGCGTCAGATGATGGAGTAGATGTGGAGATTAGACGAGGTACTGGGTCCCTGGGACAAGCAATAGTTTTCTACCTTTTTTCCTTTTTGTCTTCCAAGTAAAATATTTTATTCATATTATGTATCTCTACATAGTCTTGGAATCTGTCCAAAATGGAGACGGAGATAGTTTCCTAGTTTTCTTCCTTGTTTTTATAGGCTCTACTTCCCTAGTTTCTGAAATGTGTTTATTTACAGTGACTACGGTGTTTGAAAAATACAAGGTCATTTAGAAAAATAATTTCCGTGCAAACTAGGCATGGGATAATTAGGCCATTAGGGGGGACTATTATTAGGTGTACATAAATAACGTTATGTTCCACGTGAAAACAAGATATTCAAAGCAGACTCGTATTTAGGCCCAAAAATGTTCAATTAGCTGATAACCAAAAAGCGAAGAATCTATTTGTTCAAGTAGACCACCAAATCTTAAATGGGAAGATGTACAAGTACGGAGTATAATTTGATTTGAACTACAACATGATATAATAGCTTCCCTCTAAAATTTGTGAATTCCTTAAACACTAATGTTTGGAAATAACATAGCATCCACAAGGTGAAATCCAAATATAGCAAACTCAACTACAAGGAATGGCCCGAAACGCTTCAGAAGAAATCTGGAATAAAACCACATTGTGATTTGACAAGGGTGCTTAGTAGCTTACTTTACTGACTGAGCACCCTTTCATGGGAGAAAATCATCCTACCTCTTGCAAATACTCCCACCCTGGTTTTCTTTTGGCTACTTCATCTCGGAGTTGATCATACCGCATAGATTCCTAAACCACGAAAAGGAACATTGCATGAGACACGACACGGATAACATAATGACAACCTTAGTATTTATGCCAAAAAGATGTAGCTGAGAGTTATTGACTACAGGACAGGGCCAATTATAGAAAGATGCCGCTCAAGCAAAGTTCCTGAAATATGTTACGACGCCAAATTTCAAAGGGCAAGTATGTGCATGCTAATAGACAATGGATTAAGTTATATGTAAAAGAAAATGTCATAATAACTGAATCGGGAAGTATAAGAAGTGGCGAAAGCTAAAGGTTATCAGATCTATCAGAAGAAATAGTAATGCAATTCAAGACATAAGCATTTTCTGACAATGTAAATGGACTGGGGATTTTTTTTCTCCCGTTAGAAGAGCCATCGTAAAACACAAAAGAATTGAGGGAAAGGGAAATACAAGAGTACTCACAAGCATGAATTTTACTCACATGCATACTATTTCACATGCTTTCAGATATGTAAACTAATGTTCAGAACATTCTAGCTTTTAAGGGGTCATGTCCAGAATGCAGAAAAAAATATGAAAACAATCCCAATATCTTTGCCCCTGTTTACTTCCAAAAATATACAATTCCATTTCTCTCTTACTTCTAGTCAAAACCATGCTGAAAACTATACATTTCCTATTTCAAATTGGTTTCTACATTCCCAGTGATGTCATTGACTTTGTCTGCTTGAAATCATTGAAATCACAAGCATGATAAATAACAGAGATATTGGGCAATCAAGAAACTTAAAATTGGGGAAACTGGACCTTGTACTGCCACCAAATTTTCTGCTTGACATCTTCATCATAATCAAAACCTCCCACAATCTGAGGTAAAGTAATCAACCAAAATGCACCAATGCTTGGATCCTTCATACTGTCAACTATATGCTGCATTGATGAACAAGATTGTTAGCAATGTGTAGTATCAAGCAAAATCTTAGGAATTTACATATGATAATCACAGTTGATCGTCATCCGAGACATCATCGATAGGTCGAATGTGTGTGCGTGTGAGAGAGAGAGAGAGATGACAGTAACATATCAGAATCTCCACAGCATAAATATTGAAACTCGAGGTACAGCAGTTTTCTTCTCATTCTCTCATTCTTTCTTATTTGTCTCTTTATTTCCCTTTCTGTCCACAGTCTACGTCAAAATATCTTCAAAAATTAAATCTGAACTTTCTCAACGTATTATAGAACCACAACCAAATAGTAGCACTAGAAGATCATGCTGAAAACTTACTTTTCATGGTAGTACTTAAGCAGATGACAAGAGCATACAGATTCTCTTCAGGAATTGTGTTCGGGTTACATTAAATTCTTATTGTATATCAGTAGGTCAACAAACAAAACCATACTCCTGCTACAAGTTTTCTCATATGTAGTACAAATTCTTTGACTTCTATACCAAGTTTTGCTTGTTTGAATGCAACTTCATTACATAAGCAGAACTGCTGTCTTC